AAGCTTATCTATCTAACCTATAAATGTCCTACCCATTAAGAACCTACTGGTTTTTAACTGGGGTATGTTTTTTAAACACTGAGTATTTTCAGCCTTTTGGCTTTCTTTGTTTGAGTATTTAAAATCTTTACCATCATTAAGGTTCTGTCTTATCCCTTTCCATTCTCGTTCTATGGTTTTTAACCTAATGATTTTCAGTGTATTCTTAAAATTATAGAATTGCACGGTTATATTCTTAAGTCCCGTTTTCAGGTTTAGGATTCTTCTGTTCTGCATTTTCAGGATGTCTCCCGTGCTAAGCTAGCAGCTATAATTCCAGACCCAGTTGTAGCTCCTTCTATAGTGCCTGTTCTGAAAGATGAAGTGGATAGAAAACCAGAGTACCCTAAACCAGACACTCAGCAGATGATTCCATTTCAGCCACGACATTTAGCACGTAAGCCATGACTTGAGATACAGTTCTGAGACCTCAGTTTATTTGTTGATTTAAATCTAGAGGTGTGTGTGAGGGGGGGGAATAACGTGACCACTCTATTGTAGGTTAATTATTAGATTCAGGGTCACTATGTGACGAATGACTTGGCTGTACTCTTAACTAAGATGAGTTAAGACTGTCTTAAAACTACGAAAGCAAAACATCTCAGTGACCCAGATTCAGCTAACCCATTTTGGCAGTGCTACTTAAGACAGTTTTCAGAAGTGCTGCTACACACAGATTATCTGTGCAGTTGGAAACACGTCAGTGATTTATTTGGTGTTTTTGATACTATTGGGTAGTACCTCCCTCTAGATCCTTTATGAAGGCAGCCCTTATGATTATATTGTTGAATAACTAATTATCCAGGATTGCTAAACAAATGATTTGTGAGGTTTAGAAATGTTCTGTGACAGAAACTGACTTTAGTTCAGCCCGTGTATTTACTTTTCTCCCTCCCATGGCCATGAGGTTGAGGCTGCTTTCACTGCCTCCCTCATTTAATTTGGTCAAACATGTGAGTGCCAAAAGCAATTTACAATATTCAAAATAAAGCGTTATAGGCACAGCCTCTTTATGTACAAATTATTAATTTGTTTTAACTCTTAGATGCATAGAAATTCTTCCATCCCATTTGATTCCTACTTTTCCTTCTCTTTCAGCTCCAGGCTTACACCCTGTCCCAGGTGGAGTATTCCCAGTACCACCTGCTGCAGTCGTTTTAATGAAACTTCTTCCTCCTCCTATCTGTTTCCAGGTTTGCTCACTATTTTCATAATAAACGTTTACTCTGTGTCCTTGTGTGCTTTCCTCCCCTCATGTAATGGGAAATATAGAATAGTGCTATTTTAACTTGTGACATTATTAAGGATTAAAATTTGTCTCAAATACATTTGTGTCAAAATAGGGTCCTTTTGTACAAGTGGATGAACTGATGGAAATTTTCCGAAGGTGCAAGATACCAAATAGTAAGTGATGAAAACTCCATTTTCAGAGTGATATACATATTGTTGTCACTGAAGCCTCCGAAACCAGCTAGCCAACTTGCAAAAATATAAGCAAACCCAAAAGTGATTCAAATTATTTGACACAGAGAGGCTTGTTCATATTCTAATTCCACTAAGTAAATCATAAAAGCTCATCATTTCTACTTTATGGACATATACCATCAGGCTTCACTTATAAAAATGATTGCATTAATTCCAATGTAGCTTTTGTCTTTTCATTATTTATTATCCATAAGTAGTATGTCCCATGCTTTGCTAAGTGCAGGCTATAAAAGTAACTATAACGTATCCAAAGTAGTATATACTTTTTCACAAGGACATAATCTCAAAATCCTCCAAAGTCCTTTTTGTTTGTTTTTGATAGCTGTCGAGGAAGCTGTGAGGATCATTACTGGCGGGGCCCCAGAGCTAGCAGTAGAAGGCAACGGCCCGGTGGAAAGTAACGCAGTGCTCACCAAGGCGGTCAAAAGACCCAACGAGGACTCAGATGAAGATGAAGAAAAGGGAGCCGTTGTCCCCCCTGTTCACGACATCTACAGAGCCCGGCAGCAGAAGCGAATTCGGTGAAGCAGGCCCAACTCCTGCCTCGGAAAGAAACCTCTTACCCAGGATTTCCTTTCTGCCTCTGAAGTCATATGTTTAAAAGAGACAATGCTTTGTTACAAGCTTCTTGGAAACAAAGTTGTATTGTCATTGGTGCCTCTATCATATGGTTCTTGAGAAAAAACAAACCAACCTGTGTGAATTTTAGAATATGGAACAGACCTATGCTCTAAGCAAAATTAGGTTTTCAAAAATGTGAGAACAGTACAAAATGGCAGAGCCACGTTTTGTTCCCTCTTCAAGGGTTGTATGTGCCGCTTGAAGACTTGTGAGTTTTCAACAGTTTTATTTTAAAAACTGGATGGCTTATGATTGTAAAGCATTTTATCACATTTTCTGAAAACAATTGTTCTTGGTTTGCTTATGTAGAGTCCTGCCTTATTGTTTGTTTTTATTTATGGCAGAATGTATGGACCTGTTTTGTAGTTTAAATTTTAAAAACAATCCTTTAACAAATAAAAGGATCTTAAAAATTCCATGCCTCCTACTTCCTTCATTCATATTTTGTTTAAAATAGCTACTTATGTTACTCAGCCAATATGGTTTAAAAACAAATGCCAACAATACAAGGTAAAGTCACCTTAGATTTACTATTTGTATACTGGCTTTGTTCACTGGCTTGGGGGTACTAATTGATTGAAAATGTAAGGGGACCGTTTCTAACAGGCAAATTAAACATTTTAGGAATTCTTAAATATGTATGCACCTTTCCCCAATTAACATGAGGCAGGTTGAATGAAATATTTTAATCATTTCTCTTAAAAGCAAAATAAATGTGGGAATTCCTTTCACCACTCATTCTCTTGGTTTTAACAAAAATATTTCAGTACTCAAAAACTTTTTTATGAGCACTAAAGAAAATTAGTTAACCTAATTTTAATTGCAGTAAAAAGCAAAATTTGTCATGCAAAAAAGTCTAAATGAAAATTTTCCAATTTCTGGGCCCTCCCCTGTGGCTCAGGGGGTTAAAGTGCAGCACCATGAACCATAGCTGCTGCAGCATGAGTTCCATCCCTAACCTGGAGGTGACCCACATGGGGCAGCAGACCTGTCCTGACCTGCCACTGCTCGCCTCTGCAGTGTACTTCATCGATCTGCCTGTTCTGCTCCCCACTCTGTCTCTGGTGAATCCTCTCACTGCCCTTCCCCTCTGGCCTATACCCCAGTTTTTATGCATAAATAAATACATCTTTAAATTTTTTTTTCCTATTTCTTAGCAACATTACCTACTTTGAGTCATTTCTAGAAAAAATACTTGACAGAAATATTATTGAGTCTAAAGATTACAATTCAGAACAAAAGCTAAGGTGGAGAGGCAACATTAAGTTTATATCTTACATACTGGGATAGGTACACCATTTAGAACTTGAATTCAGCTACGATTAAACAATCGTACAATTTAAAATCAGCTTCAAATGTTTCTACAAAACATAAGAGAAAAAATTATGCTTTTTAATCACTTTATATAAATGTTTAGATAGAAAGGTTATATTTATATATTGATTCTAAAGATGGCTAGTTTACTGTATTTTCCCTTAAAGCTAAAATTTCCTCAAAACAAAGTCAGCTAACTCTAATTCAAGATTTTGTTATTCACATCAGTATCATTTTCAAGTTGCAGGGGGTTTTTTATTGTAATGGTTATAAACAAAACACTCTTAAAGGCACATGTAGCGCCATATAGCATAGACTTTAAAATATAGAGATGCAGAATTTTCTCTAAAGTGCTATCTTTGGGAATTAGTCAAAGATAACAAACAGTTTTGAATACCTGTTGTGGTGATGACAAAACCACCTGAATGTACAGGAAATGATTTTTTTAGTATTGTGAAGAAAAGAAAATATATACATATACATCCTTTGGTGTAAAAAAGTGCCACTAATTAAAGACCTTTATTTCTAAGATCCACCCCTTCCCAAACTCTAAACATAAGGGCTATTTCTTGTCAGAAGAAAACATTTTCTGATATTATAATGGCTATAGACTTATATGTGAATTTTTGGACTTTAATGTGATTCTGTCTGAAGCACTACTACCAAATAAACCTAGCACTTTCCTAAAAAGACACGTTTCTACAAACCTGTTAGTTAAGACATCACATCAAATTCAATCAGTATATATTATATGGAACCAGTTCAACTCTGAAGGAAAACTTAGATAATAAAGGATACTTTTTCTTGGAGGAAGAGGAATTACAAACAGATGCTTAATGAACATTTCCTGAATGACAAAATGAATTTTCCTGGCCCTTACTGATAATTCTCTCAGCTTCCAGGAAGAAATGCAGCTCACTCATCTTCATAGAACCACACCAAAACAATTCAATGTGAATATTGTGGTCTGACCTTTGCCTCCTTTGTTATTGGTTTGTCACTTGTAAAACTCTACATTGGCCATTGCTGCAGAGGAGGAGCCTGGGGGGCTCATAAGACTGAGGTTTCCTGTTATACATGTCTCTTAAGATTTTCAAACTGTTGGACTTAACTTTGTTAATTTAGGGGCCCATGAGGGAAAATAAACCTTACTAGAGCGAACTCTTACAAACAAATCAAAGGAGTTGTTCTGAGATTTAGGAAGAATGACTTCAAGGAGTGGTGAGTCCCCTGTGTATCTGGGGGTATAGTGTCTTTCCCTAGTATCTGGAAGGGGAGGAGGAAAACAAAGCACAAACACTCTGAAGTTGAGGCATGCCAACTTCATAGCTTCATAGCTCAGAAACTAATATCGTGCTACTGTAAATCTGACATTTGATATGACAGTATCATGTTGAGCACAGCTGCAACACAATAACCCTACCTCCAGAAACAATTCCAGAAAGGCCTTACTGAATGTATTCTCAAAGATGTCATTTTTATTCTTCAAAAGTTCTATTTATTTAATTCTGTCCTTTTTCAATGAAACCAGGGAAGAGTTATCCTTGAGTATGAACTTTAATAAGACTTCTGATGACACAGCATACATTTCTGACTGCAAGTAAAAACCACCATGAGAGCACAGTTTACAGCATATATTTGGAGAAATCTAGTTATAGCCATTCACACCTATGAAGCCTGGTACACTAGTCTCCAGGGCAAATGTTCCTCTGGCTGCCTCCTGGCCAGGCCTCCACTCCACCTCTCATCCACTTTAATAAGAAGAATTCCATGTGTGATTTTACCTGTTGCTATTGTGACAGTGGGATATCACCAATGTTTCACGGCTATGCTGCTCACATGATGACCCCATCTGGCCCACGTGCGTGCATGTATACACACACAGTTTTTAATAGAGACCACCTGTGAGACCCAAACTACTCTTCAATCTCAGATATGTCAGGAACGTTGGTCACTGGAAAATACTGTTCAGAAATCCAGGGTTTCCTATGACTGCCTTATCTAAGAAATAAGTGAGCCTAAACTATTACACCTGAAAAGACCCAAATTTAATTTTGGAGTTCTAATCCAATGAATGCATCTGTACCGTAGCAGCGGAAATTTCTCAGTAAAATCTTGGGACATTCGTCACCTTTTATGTTACTCCAACATATATTTTTTAAAGAGAGAAACTCCTTAACTTTCAAAGCTGAAAAGTCAAAGAATTTTCTTTCTCTAGAGCCCATAACTCATAACATAGCTTTCACCCAGGCTCAGGAATAATTTTGTATAAAATAAGTTTTTTTTTTTAATCAAGTAACTCTCCTCTAGAACAAAAGGAATGTGGGGCTCTGGCCAGGCCAGGCAGAGAGAAAGTAATAAATAGTGGGGGCTGGAGGAGGAAGAGAAGGGCAGTTGGATTATAAATAGTCCTAACTCAACATGCCTGGACAGAGAAGTGGGGGGCTGTGCAGAGAAGGGCAGGAGTCTAAAGGCAGACCTGGCTTGGTTGCTCTCACTCTTGGGGGCCATCAGTCAGGATAGTTGAATGAAAAAAAAAAAAACGACCCAGAGAACAAAGACAGAAGTCCCAGGCCTCAGGGAGGGACAGGGCATTTACAGTCACTGGAGTGGAAGTGGAGACCGCTGCAGTCAGCTGTGTAACAGCTGAGTGGTGCTGATTCAACTCAAGATAACAAGCTGCTTTGATTTGTAAACTTGCACTCATAAATACAAACCCTCAAAATAGAATTCAGTTCACTTTTCAACAAGTCTTTTCAACAGTGATACACAATATTCTTTCCTTTGGAATCAGTGCTGTTAAATAGAAATAAACTATATAGCCATTTTCCAAAGCAACATTAGTTGAGAAGAGGGATTCAGAGCTGAGCTGAGCTACTAACACTGCGATAGGGAGCATGTGTCAGGGTCTGACGAGAATCTTCCTGAGGATGACGTCATAGTAGGGACTGAAGACCATCTTGTTATAGTTGACCAGGCGGACAAATTTAACAGCAACTTCCTCCAACTCTCTCTGAACTGGGCCCAATCCCCCAGGTACTGCGGGCAATGGCTTCTGATGACCTGAGGCAAGGTAGGTTTCTAAGAAAGTCAGGATGCGGGAATCTGTGACAGAAAAGAAAGCACCTGGCTGTTTCTTGCTGTGAGATTAGGTTTCAGTTTTAGCGTAAACATTCCCCTTTTAGGAGGGGCTTTCCTGATCTCTCCCTGGACCCCATCACCTGACGCTTCTGAACATTCATCGCACATGTGATGGTTCTTCTCCCTCTAGACGATTGGTTTCATGAAGGCAGGAACCATACCTGTTTATTGTGCTCTTTCTACCACCCAACACAGTGCCCAGTATGAGATCTGGGCCCCAGCAAAAGCTCAAAACACATACAGGATGCAAGAATAAAGCATGGATAAGAGAGGCCTAGCATGTTGATGATTTTTAGTTTCACTCTTTGGTGAACAATACATCAGCCATTATTGAAGATCACATTTTTTTAAATAGGAAAAGCAAAGCAGAAATTAAATTAAAGAAAGAGGAAGCTTCCAGAACTGCTAGTTTATGATCTTTTTTTTTCCCCATGAAGCCTACATCAGAGAAACTGGAGCTTCCTTCTTGAACACCTACAATGAAGACCATGGAAGCTGCTGGCATTGTAAACTAGTCTGGCTGATGCTTTGTTGCCCCATTGTCCTCCACAAGTACAATGTTTCTGCATTCTCTTGCATACCCTTATCAGCCAAAAAGGAATGTGTGCAAGCCGCAGGTCTTACAGACTTTATTACAAAATATGACAGTTATGTAGAATGGGCTTTTCAAACAACATGCCCTACGCCCTGCCCTGAGGAACCTTTTAGATGCAGATCACTGACAGCCTTCAGAACCTGATAACAAGCTCACACAGAGTCCTGGCTTAGTGGTTTCATCATCTCTATACTAAAGTTCCTTGTCTTTAAGGTCCCCAGAGCAGGGAAGCCTTATCCAGAAGTGGAGACAGAAGGGGAGAGCCTCGCATCATTCCTACACCTGGTTTTCAGCCCTAAGGTCTGTAACTGGCTGTCACTAACCCACCAAGATGGCAGGACACAGAGCAGTAGTTAACCAGGGATCTGCTCACAGGCACGTTTCTGCATTTGTTCCCAGGAGGGCCCTGTAAAAGCCTCCTCTGAGGGACGCCCAGATGAAACTACGACCAATTCAGGGCTGGGGTAAAATAATTTAATTTTAAAACCACTGATCCACATACATCTTTTTTATAAATTGTCACTTAACAGATTTTTAGAAATCATAATATTAGAAGCAAACCATATCTCTGATCAAGGCTTCCACTCAACCTGAAATCTGATAGCCATAGATCATTGAGCTTCTGCCTCAAGCCCATTTTTCATTATTTATCTGTTGAATACTGATCTGGTGTCATAAAGAATTTGAGAAAAGTCTTCAAATTAATTCTATTAGTTAAAGAGAGCTGCATTTTTAAAAAATTATACACTGTATTCCTTAATCAACCAGAGAGTATTTTTTTTATTATGCCCTGCTGTGATGATGAAAAGTAAGAGCTAACACAACAGAATGGTATTTTTAATAATAGCTACTCTACCGAGTACTTACTATGTGCTGCCAGGCATTCTATCCAGCTTACTGCCTCTCAGCAACCTTGGAAGGTGACTGATTGCTGCTGAGATTAGAACTCCACGTCAGGTCACTTGCTTAAGCTACACAGTAAGTACTTGTAAAGTAAACTTCTACCTCTCCTGTTTCCCCTTTACTCCTGCTACTGCCACAATCACAAACCTTCCTTCCAGCACCAGCTGTGAGGAAGGCTTTGGCCTACCAAGCAACTCCATGACACCAGCAGGGTGTTTATTCTGTTCTGATCCAGCCCACCTACAGATAGCATCAGATCCCACAGACTAAGGGCCCAGTCCCATGAGGCCGCCTCCCCCCCCCCATCAGATACCAATTGCAGGAAGGAGAGGTCCAGGTTACCCACAACTTCTGCCCAAGTTGGCTACTGATCAGAGGTTCCTATGACCTCTTCCTTCTTAGATTTTAATTATTTGCTAGAACAGCTCAGAGGCTCAGGGAAACACATACTTATTTTTACCAGCTTATTATATAACAAAGGATAGGATTAAGGGGCAGAGAATAGTCAGAAAAAATACCTACAACAAGGTCTGGGAAGGTTCAAGAGCAGGAGCTTTGGGCCCATGGCACGGGGGTGCACTACCTCCCAGCACCGGGAGGTATTCCAACCTGGAAACTCCGAACCCTACACACTTAGAATTCTTATGGCAGCTTCATCACGTAGACATGATTGAACATTAACTCCATTTCCAGCCCCATCCCCTTCAGTTCCATTGGGAGGTAGAACTGAAAATCCCAAGTTTCTCCTCATGATTTGATTCTTCGAGTTCTATCTCCCACCCAGGCACCCTCCAGGGATCATGATTTTTTTTTTTTTAATAAAAGACTTTCCTATCAGCCAAAGATTTAGGAGTTCCATCAGAAACCAGGGTCAAAGACCGAACATTAGGACAAAAGAAGTTCCTAGTGCTCTTATCATTTAGGAAATTATCTGGGTTGTAGAAGCAGTGGGCCAGGAGCCAGGGGCAGCAACCAATTTATATATTTTCTATTAGCTCACCATGCTGTAGCAGAGTTTGGATCCAAGGCCTGTAATGGCAGTCAGCACGCTCAGTACAGTAATGGCTGCCTGGTTAGCATGTGCCCACCCTCGGGATCCCCCTCATTACAATGTTGTGACCATCACTCTCTCCTCTTCCATCAGCATCATCAACCACCAAAACTGTCTACATTTCTTCAGAGGCTCCTGTCTGCCCGCCCGCATGATGCACAGTCTGCTGCCTGCCTTCCCAAACATACCCATAATCCTGCGGATGGGATCGTCGGGACTGGCCACAGCCTGGATCTGGCCCTTGAGTGCTGTTTCCTTGTCCGGGGTGAGGGGAGTGAGCCCGCACAGGGAAAGGCAGCTGCTCACCTCCAGGCAGACTTTCTCCCCAGTGGTGGTCAGGGCATCCTTCAGATGGAAGGAGCTTGAGTAGAGAAGAAGGAGAAGTCAAGGGAGGGGCACAAGGCACACCCAGCAGCAGCACCAACAGCCCCACCCTGGGCGAGCCATGACAGCCACTTACTCTTCTGGCCCTAGACGTTCTCACACACCCTCTGTTTCTCTTCAGAGAGGACAGTGGAGGGTGAAAGCTCAAATTCATTCAGGGCCAGCAACCCCAAACCCAACTTCTTGCCAGCATCTGTGTGGTGAAATAGCCTGGCACTGACTTACCAACAGCTCAGACACCTCTAGGGCAATTCACAGAAAACCAGAAATTTAGAAGCTATAGGACAGGAGTGGGAGAGAAATCTTTCATCGGCTACCATTTTTGTTCCTTTTCAATTTGGAGATACATTGTGTTTATGAACTACTTTAAAAGAACAACTAAAAGGACCAAGTATTAGGAAAATGATCACCTTGAGTTGAGGAGTCCCCCAGCTCTCCCAGAATGCTGTAGGTGGCTACCTTTATCCTAGGTTCTAGAGCTTTGTATGGCAGAATTAGGGTAGCCAAGGAGCCAGCCTTGGGGTACACAGCTGTACCAACTGTATGCCAGCCCCCAAATGCCAGGGCGGATGTGACAGGGCAAGTTGGACTCTTGAGGAAGCACCTACAGGCCCCTCACCAGAAGCTTGGATGGAGCAGTTATACTAGAGGACAACCTGTGTCTTGGTAGCAAATCTTTGAAAGCCACTAACCTAGAGCCTTGCAAAGTCTGGAGTTGAATCTAACTGGCCACATGACCCTGAATAAATTGCTGGGTTTCTGCTTGGTTTCCTCTCAGCTCCCTGGATCCTGCTTAACACTGGCAGACCACCCCCACTTCAGTGTGCTCTGTGCCATCTGCTGCCTACCGACCCTCTGTCATGGTCCACTCCACAGCTCCCATCCACTCACGGGAGATGCATATCTGTTAGCAGAATCTTCACGACTGTCTTCAGTTTCTCAGCAAAGCTAGCCTGGCTGGAAATTCCTGGGCCTGCCATGCTGAATGTGACCAGCAACACGGCTCCCAGGGTGGTCAGGTGCTCCAGCTGGAGCTGGAGCTCTTGGAAGCGAGACTGGTCCATCAAAACTGTCTGCAAGAATACAACAATCATCAGCCCTGAGCTGCAGGCAGGAGCTGACCAGCAGAGGGCGGTAGGGACACAGCCCTCACATGTGCCTCAAATGTTTCCCTCAGGATTTCCTAGCTATTTCAGAGATAGGCGTATGTGTGGATTTTTTTTTAATTGTTTTATCTTTTACATCATTTTGTATTCACCATAAAATACCCACCAGTTCACCCGTCAATCATCATCATAGTCCCTTGTGATTGTCTCTCCCTATTTTGACCGCTTTTCTTCTCCCTCTCTCACAGAATGTCTCTTATTTATGGTTGCCTGCTAAGTTTATTGTTTTTATTATTACTATTATTTTCTTGATCCTTTATTTGGTTCCCCTATATTCCTCCTATAAGCGAAACCACTTGGTATTTTTCTTTTTCCTTCTTGCTTATTTCATTAAGCATGATGCCTTCTATCTTCATTCACATTGCTACGTATGGCATGATTTTATCTTTTTTGATTGTTGCACAGTATTCCATTGTGTATAAATATACAATATTTTCTTGATCCAGTCATCTGTTTTGGGGCATTTGTGTTGTTTCCATAGTTCATCTATTGTGAATAGTGCTGCAATAAACATAGGGGTACAGATCTCTTTTTGAATTAATGTTTGTGTCCTTGGGTAGATCCCTAGGGGTGGAAGTGCTGGATCATATGGTAGCTCCATTTTTAGTAATTTGAGGAACATCCACACAGCTTTCCATAGTGATTGGACCAGTTTGCATTCCTACCAGCAGTGTAGGAGAGCTCCTTTTTCACCAACATTTGTTGTTGTTGCCTGTTTTTTTAGTGTGTGCCATTCTCACTGATGTAAGGTGGTACCTTATTGTCGTTTTGATTTTCATTTCTTGTTTATAAGTGGCTATGAGCATTTTTTCCATATACTTGTTGGTCATTTGTATTTCCTCTTTAGAGAAGTCTTTGCTCTTCTGCCCATTTTTTTTTTAAACTAACTTCTTTACTTTGTTTTTGTTGTATGTGTGAATTCTTCTTCCATCTCAGAGCCCCCTTTTCCTTTAAAAAGGTGCAACGGAGCCTACTCATTAAGAACAGGAGGAAAACCAGTATCAATCAAGGCTTTGTCATTTAACAGTGGCATGATCTCATGCAAGTTTCTTCAACCATCTGAGCCCATACAAAATGGGGATTCCTGCTTCACAGAGCTGTTTTAAAGGTGAAAAAAGACCATGTTCATAAAATAGTTAACAGACACAATACTCAATAGATAGGAGTTCAAGCATTAGAAAGAATAATGAAGGCTACAAAAAAGGTGATAAACTCATGCCAGGGTGTCGGGGGCTGTCCTGGTTTTAAAACTGAAACTGCCAAGTCCTGCGAACTTTCTCAGGCCTGGGCAAACCAGGATGGCCAATTCCCCCCATTCCAGAACACTGGGAGGGAGGAATTCCTTGAGGACAAAGCCTGTGCTGACACCTTAGTATCCCCTCAGCACCTGGTACAAAGGAGCCCATCAGACACTGGGAAGCAAATAAAGAAATGGAGAGAGAGAGAGAAGCAATAAGCAGAACCAGATCATCCCCCCATGTTAAATATACCTCAGATCCTACAAGGCCAAAGTCTCTTGTGTGGGTAAGAAGAACAGCAGAAATGCTGAGTTTTTACTGGTTAATCAGTACACGCTAAGGACCATCTTCCTGGAAGAATGGAGACACGTACAAACAAACTTGGCCTCTTGGTGTAGAATTCTTTTCAAGAAGTCAAAGCTATCTTTGGAGACCGAGACTCTACTGTTGTTGAACAGATGCTTCAGCAGCCTATCGGCTTCTATTCTGCTCTCACTTTGTTGCATGGCTGTGTCCTGGTTTTGAGGCCTCTCAGTGGTCTGTAGTACTTCAGCTAGGAAGCAAAAGATTTCCTCCAAGGATTGATTCTAAGCATATGATCTGTCCTCAGTGAAATACCATCTCCTCTCTGCTGTTCTTTAAGAGAAATGTTGATAAGAACTGCCCTCCAGGAGAAAACATGCCACACCTTAGGAAGTGACCCTCCCTTCCCCGATTGGACATCATCTCAAAAACCTGCTCTGGTGCAAAACAGGGAACTCAGAGACAAGAAGTAAAACCTGGGGTTTACAATGTCTGAAAGGGAAAAACAAGGAACTCAGCTGAGAAAGATGTTTAGAGAAGTAGCAGGCATTGCAGCTACAGATAAGAAATCCAAGTGCCCTCAAAAGAGACAGGAAGTCTATATACCAAACCAACTATTGAGGGTACGAATGGGGAGTCTTTCACTAGTCATCTCCTCAAAGGATGGTGCAGTCAGAAGTACTTGCTGTGAGCTCTCCTGCCTGCCTGTGACTATGCAGGCGTCTCTCTTTCTTTCTCCTTTTCCTAATAAATCTGTCCTTTTAAAATGTAAAAAAAAAAAAGTGCTTGTTGTGAAAAACAAAAAGAATAACAGGAGCCCTCCCTGATGTTGTATTACGTTAAACTGTAGCACTATGAAGCTATCCATGGCCTCTGCAGCATGAGTTCAATCCCTGGCCAGGGTGGTCACCCACATGGTATGGCAGATTTCTCCTGACCCTCACTGCTTCCCACAGCAATCTGCCTATTCTGTTCCCCCACTCTGTCTCTGGTGAATCCTCTCACCCCTTGCACCCCTGGCCTATACCCCAGCTCTTGAAGGCATAAATAAGTAAAAATAAATAAATAAAAATAAATAACATTTCTCCATAAAGGAGTGTGAAGGTTTCCTTAAATAAAATTGATGAGCAATACCACTATTATGTTTTCATCAAATGAAGTAAAATAGGACAGAAGTTCAAAAGTACAAATTAGGAAGTCCATATAATACTAGTAGGTGAAAGGATGCAGCTACTCTGGAAAAGTTTAACAGTTCTTCAAAATGTTAAACTTGAAGTTGCCACATGACCCAGCAGTTCTAATCCAAGAGAAGTGAAGACATGGCCATGCCCAAACTTGCACGTAAATGTTCACAATTCACAATGGCAAAAAAGTAGAGACAAGGGACAACCCCCAAATCTTTCTCAACTAATGAACAGACCAACCAAATGTGGTATAGCAGATCAATATTTTAAGGCATATTACTCAGGCTTAAAAAGGAAAGAAAGACCTCCCTGGTGGCGCAGCGGGTTAAAGCACAGCACTAAGAATCGAAAGCCACTTCCTCATGAGTTCAAT